TCACGGCTCATTACACATGCAAGAATGCAGAGATCAATCTGAAATCTACAACTAGCAACGGATTCAACTTTTGAATATTAAATTCATCAATGGATTCTTGGGGGGTACGCTTGACCTGGTTTGACTGTAAAGCAAACTGTCGCGCCAAAGGTAAGCTGTTTTATGTTTCTGATTAGCATGTCATACGCTCATATTTCATTTTCCTCAACTTTCAGGCATATTTCATGCTCAGAAACTGTCAGCACACTTGCCTCCAGAAGTTATTCTTAAAGTCTAAAAATTCTTGCAAAGAATATTTTGTTGAGCAAAAACAAATCAAGTCGACAACATCAACCACTCCAAACTTTGAATGTTAGCGGCAAAACATATCATGTTTGCACCCAATCATTAGAACATGTTTTTCCTCACCTGTACACGCTTAGATGCAACCAACAGTAGAATATAATTATATACCTTGCATGTGGAACTAGAAGTAAATTTTTCTATGTCATAAAAGATATTGTTCATCATGGTTAATGTGTATAAAGGGTTTTTTATTGTTTGACTCAAGATAGTCACTTAGATATAATTTGATCGAGATGTTCCAATTCAAATTAGTGTACTCCAGGTCTTCATTAGGTGTTATAGTGTCCATTTACTGAGTTTATGCTTTCTGTGCCACATGAAAGAGAATATAATTTGATTGCTTTAATCTCTAGTACTTACTTTAAGAGTACTGCAGTTAATCTGTTCAACTCCTGCAGGCAAATTCTCAAAATAGCCATTGGGGTATGCTTTCACAGAGTTTTCAGCAGAAATAATAAATCCAAGAAAGTTTCTCATTCTCATCTCATTTGCCAAATAAGATCCATTGAGATAAACTGAAACAAAATCATATTTACTGTTTAAGTCTACGAGATTATTCACAAAGCTTAAGGGACAGCAACTAGTAAACATGTACATTCCAACCCAATTTATAACAGACACTGAGGGGGACAAAGAAAGTGCCCACGTTAACAGGGTGTCCATACATGACATAATTAAGTGGGTTGAATTTAGTGAAATTGTAAGGGCTTACTTTCCCCACCTCCCTTGCTACTGTTCACACTCTGTCACACATAAGTTGCCTAGTCCCTGTTCAGCATCTTCCCAGGCCTCCTCGGTCAGTGCAGTTCGGTGACGTATCCGCAACTTTTTTGAGCATGCGCTAGCTTTCGTCACCTAGTTAGGCCAGGCCCATAAGACACTTATCATGATAATTCGCCTTTGTCTTGTCAGGAATTAAAGTTAATCCTGGCCATGATTTCGTATTCCGATTTTGGTCGAATTTTACTTTGTAAAACTGTAATCATTGCTCTTTGTAGCGCTTTGTTTGCATTGTATACAAACTTTTCACAACACTAGTGGGGCAGCATCAGTGATTCCATATTAGGAAGAAAATTTTGATTTATATGAACAACTAAAAATGTGTTTCTTCCAATTCAATCTAGCTATCAGCCATCACAAACATGCAGGTCCTGAACCCCAATCCCAGTGTCCTAGTACAATGATATTTAAAATGGTTACTTTGTTAAATCTACTATTAAAGCCTACCTGTATGAATACTGTTAGGGATATAAGCAGGTACTGACTGCCCAGGATATCTTCCACTGACACTTAAGTCATATGGTAGGTTATCCGCCAAGGCAAGCGGATTAGTTTCTGGAAACCAGGTTCTCATGGTGGCACAGGACGGTACACCTGTACAGTCCACCCATGCAGAAATAAACAGGATGAAGACAACAGCAATTTGGACTTGTACCTTCATCACTGCAGTACAAATTAATTGATAGAAATTTTTAACAAA